CACACGCACGCGCGCGCACACACACACACACACACTTTCCCCCTCTCCATACGTAACATCCACACGCATCATCTCTCCCCTCACCGTCAAAGTTGCACACTGGCGCGGGTCAGAACTACATTGGAGCTTACATTTACACACACACATATACATACACACACACACACATACATACACACACACATACATACACACACACATACATACACATACACATACCGGTCTGTCGCGCTCCTCTGTGTCACGGAGCCCAAAGGATCCGCGCAAATACGCGGCTCCTTTGGGAGTCGCGTATTTCCCCTACATGTTTTGCTGTAGGGGAAACATGTTTGTGTTTATGGTCCTCGGGATCAGCCCCACACACATCACTTGTATTTAAACTTTTGTGAAGACCTGTGAGACGCGGCTCGTCACTCGCTGCTCTGACCATGTGAACGAGCCGTCGTTTGCTGCTAGAAAGTTTTGGTATTAACCAGCAGTACAGCAGAATGGGAAGATTAAAAAAGCAGTTCTCTGTGCGCAAAGGTGCCGGAGCTGTTGCGGGTTTGGGCGCCGCTGTCTCAGCTCTGATCCAGTAGAACGCAGAGCTGCACTTATGAAAAGTACGCGGCTCGAAATGGCTGTTATTTCAAAGAACGTGGACTATTTTAAACTACGCGGTTAACCGGTTTCAACCGGTTAATGAGGCTCGGTGGTCGGTCATGAAAATTCATAGTTTTTTACATCCCTAGTGGAAGCATGTAATTTTGTCTGTTATCACAAGCCTTGCGGCCATCTTTGCAATAATAATGGTTGTAGGATGCTGCTGTATACCTTGTATACGTTCTCTTTGTGTTAAAGCTATAGACACCGCTGTTAACCCTGGACTGAGAGGTCAAATGCTTGCATTGGTTGAGGATTCCCCCGTCCCGTCGCCTGAGGAAGGTTATTGAAATGTGTGGCCTTTTTTAATAGCGGCCAAAAGAGGGGACTGTTGTATTAAATATAGGCTAAAAGGCGATGTGAATTAGATTGACCTGAAATTGAACTCTGTCTGTCTCCAAGCAAAAAGAAAGACCTTGTATTGCCCAACTCCCCTTGTCCCATTTTGTCCAAAGTGCATGGGTGAGTTAATGATAGTTAATCTGGGGGGATTCTGCTAATCCTTTCAAGTTGTGAAAGAAGGAGATGGAGTCCAGAATCTGGAGGAGAAGCCTTGAGATCCCTCTGCCTTATCTCAAAGGAACTAATAAATCGATAGAATTAGGGAGGGGTAGTGCGTGAATGATTTCTGTTTAGGTCTGGCGAGACGGAGAAGACCTGATGGAGGCCGGACCCTGGACCAAGAGCTGACTGATACGACACGCCCCCTTCTTCCCCTTGCACATTTACTTATAATAACCTCATGCTTGTGTTAGTCTAGACCGGACCAGGGACAGGAGTGTGATTTGCGTGGAGCGCCCACCAAAATCATACTTTTATATTTTATATAGAGAATAAGGGATAGTTACTTTTGGTCCGAACAGCTGTTTTAGATTCTTTTTGTATTAGGGAAATAAACCTTTTTGAATTTAACTTTCTGAATCATGGTCATCTTTATAAGGGATTTTGAACACGTCATTTTTTAATATAATATGCTGCATCCTTCTCCCATATGTTCCTCCAGAACTGTTCAGTTTCCAGCCTCGGTGGATCTGCTCCCCTGTTGTTACCCTGCCACTGAGCGTACACCTTCGCAGGTTGTGTTGCGAACAGCCTGTTCACCCTTCTGGCTTCATTCTCTTTAGTGTACCTCTGTAGGCGGCTGGCCAGGGCTTGGAGCCTTTGTTTGGCAGTTTCGAGTGCTTCAGGTATGGTCATCTGGCTGTTAATGAAAGGGAAAATGTAGGTACCCCAGCTTTAATTTTGCGAGTTTGGTTGCATTTCAGCGTGTCTCCTCCTCTCCTCCGTGTGTCACACAACATCAGAGAATGGCCCCTGTGCGTGTATATATATGTGTGTATTATATGACCACGTTACTGCTGTCACCATCACACACACACGTGTCCGTGGCATTCTGAGTGATATTATTATAAATGGGCGGGTCATTCGGACATGTGATTGACTGCCAGTCTATTTCAGAACAGGTACTCTCATATTGCCAGCCGTTTCTGATGATTTTTACTGAATTTTCAAGACCCACAGAATATTGTGTACTATGACTATCTGAAATCCAAAACCATATTCTGAAAGAATGGACTGTCTACGTTCATCAGCAAAAATAATTTTGTTTCTAGCTTGTTTCGTTCCCCTGTAATCCCCAGTCGAGTAGAGGTAAGTTTTATTGAAATCACCAGAAAGCTGAGAGAAAAGAGGCACATGTTTCCAAACCATTCATAGAGCAATGCTGCCATCTGCTGGCTTGATAAAATATTGCCTCAAGCCTTACATATTTGATACAATAGACATCTGGGAACGTGAAAATAGCGGGAAACGCAATTGACGTGTTAACACGTCAATGGCAGTTAATGCGTTAATTATTTTTTTTAACGCGTTAATGAAAACGGTAATTAACGTGAATTAACGCGATAATTTTGACAGCCCTAATATATATATATATATATATATATATATATATATATATATATATATATATATATATATATATATATATATATAAAATCAATATGTATACAGTGCCTTGCGAAAGTATTCGGCCCCCTTGAACCTTTCAACATTTCGCCACATTTAAAGGAGCAATATGTAATATTTGCATGTCAAGTCATCATTAAATGACCCGAATATTTCAAAAGGCGTTATTAAATCATACTCTTTTCGAATTCATCTTTAACTGATAACAGTAGTTCAGCCGAGATATTTGATTATCAAAATTTGTTTTACGACCCGTAAAAGTTGTTTTTGTTTTGATTTTGATGTCCTACCCTCCGCCGTTTCGCCAATCAGGAAGTGTCATGTAAGTCCGTGATCGGGTTGCCAGAACTCCGCGCGGCTCATTAATATCAGTGGTAAAATAACATGTGGCGCAGAACTAAAAAAGGTTAGGGTTAGGGTTAAAACGAGGATTTATATCGGGATGCCTTTGAACAATTGAGACAGCTGATAAAAGTTCACGTGTGATGCAGAATTTTCTAGTTTGACTCCGTTCTTCACAGTGTCTCTATTCGTGTGAATCGGTGGTCTAGTGGTCTAAACTGTGCGCTTACGATGCAGGAACCCGGGTTCAATCCCGGGCTATGTCTTTTTGTATTTATTGCATGTTATCACATTCTATGACAGATTGCTCTAAAAACGGTAAAAGATGAAGGTCAAGACGTTTTTTTGCAGATTATAGCTTAATTGTAAAAATAATCATTTAAGACCACATGTACCCCAATTAAAATAATGTTAGTCTCTTTTTGATGTGGAACTTTTACATGTTTGTCTAAAAAATAGGGAATAAATAAAATTGAAAGGTGATATCCTCTTGAGCAAACCCTGATGTTGATACGCTGAAGAAATACGTTCCAACATCCATTCTTCCCACTCCTATTTTGGACATAATTTGCTTATTTATTTTGCATAAACTATGTATAATTAAATTGCTTTTATTTTGTTTTTGTTTTTTTATCTCAAATGTCCAAATAATAATAATAAAAAAACATTAATCAAAACATTCATTCAGCATTAGCACGGCTGTCATGGCAATGTGAATGGAGACGGACAAACAACTGATAAAATAATTCCCTGTGTTTGCTGCTGGATTTGGTGTGAATCTGGCAACCTGAGTCAGGGAGAGTGGGAGAGGACTACAAAATATTGACTGTGACTGCAGTACCACTTTTGGCCAGATTTTTACATATTGTTCCTTTAAGGCTTCAAACATAAAGATATAAAAATTAATTTTTTTGTCAAGAATCAACAAGTGGGACACAATCGTGAAGTGGAACAAAATTCATTGGATAATTTAAACTTTTTAACAAATAAAAAACTGAAAAGTGGGGCGTGCAATATTATTCGGCCCCCTTGCGCTAATACTTTGTAGCGCCACCTTTTGCTGCAACTACAGCTGCAAGTCACTTGGGGTATGTCTCTATCAGTTTTGCACATCGAGAGACTGGAATTCTTGCCCATTCTTCCTTGCAAAACAGCTCGAGCTCAGTGAGGTTGGATGGAGAGCGTTTGTGAACAGCAGTCTTCAGCTCTTTCCACAGATTCTCGATTGGATTCAGGTCTGGACTTTGACTTGGCCATTCTAACACCTGGTCTATTTGTGAACCATTCCCTTGTAGATTTGGCTTTATGTTTTGGATCATTGTCCTGTTAGAAGATAAATCTCCGTCCCAGTCTCAGGTCTTTTGCAGACTCCAACAGGTTTTCTTCCAGAATGGTCCTGTATTTGGCTCCATCCATCTTCCCATCAATTTTAGCCATCTTCCCTGTCCCTGCTGAAGAAAAGCAGGCCCAAACCATGATGCTGCCACCACCATGTTTGACAGTGGGGATGGTGTGTTCAGGGTGATGAGCTGTGTTGCTTTTACGCCAAACATATCGTTTTGCATTGTGGCCAAAAAGTTCGATTTTGGTTTCATCTGACCAGAGCACCTTCTTCCACATGTTTGGTGTGTCTCCCAGGTGGCTTGTGGCAAACTTTAAACGAGACTTTTTATGGATATCTTTGAGAAATGGCTTTCTTCTAGCCACTCTTCCATAAAGGCCAGATTTGTGCAGTGCACGACTGATTGTTGTCCTATGGACAGACTCTCCCACCTATATATATATACACATATATATATACATATATATATACATACACAGTTTGGTTCAATGTGGCCCTTAAGGGAAGAGAAATTAACTATTTTAATTCTATTCTAACTTTATATGGCATACATTATTATTATTAATATTATTATTTTTGCACAAATCATAATCTAAAACTTAAACTAACTTAAATAGAAGTAGAAAATATTCAAAAATAATAAAACGATAAAAAAGGATAACACATCTCACATAGTCCACTGGTTGGCACTTGGCCTCCACATTTTTCAAGCGTAGTAAATCTTTGCCAACACATCCTTTTCCGAGCTAGCTTTAGCAGCCATTAGCTTATCCCTGTGTCCAGTGATGCAGCGTTGGTGCAGCAGCTGTAGCAGATTCCGACTTTTGGACTTCTGGATTCAGACATTGCAAAAGTGATGTTGCACGCGTCCAGCAGTTAAAGTGAGGTATCCGACCGAAGGAGGTAACATTACATTCAGATAGTCAAACATTTTAAAGAAAATTGGCGATCGCCTGTAGTGAGCAACCGATGATACAGTTCTACATGCTGCTGCTCACGAGAGCGCCCCCCCTTTGTTTGAAAACCTAACACTTTCAATCACCTATCTGGATGGAGCAACAAAAAGCCGGTGTTATTTATATTTTTTACAACCTCCTGGTCCTTACAGGTCCGCCCCCCCCCCCCCCCCCCCCCCCCCCCCCCCCCCCCCCCCCCCCCCCCCCCCCCCTAAAGAAGCTATACCCATTTTTTTTCTAAGTATTTCATAAAAATGCTTTTTACTACATACAAGTTGTATCATAATACATAATTTAATTGAAAACTTGAGGTCATTGATTCCACTGTGTATGAAATTCAGGCAGTGAAAAGTGCTGAGTAGAGTCTGAGCGGGACGTTCTCCTCCGCCTCACAAGAAAACGAGCACGCGACCAGCATGTCCTCTTGCCCCTACAGCGTGCTTAACACCAGGGCTTCGACTTCAAAATTCAAATCTAATTACTAAAATAAAAAATATATACATATTTGAACTAAATATTAGAAACCTTTTATTTAGAAATGTATATAATGACTGCAAATAAAATAGTTAGTCCCAAGGTTTCACCGGGTGTGTAGGCAGGTAACACGCTAAGCTAGCTAGTGTTTCATGGTAACTTCCGGGTTCCTTTTCCACAATCGCTTTTTTTCACTTCTAAAACAGTATTTTTGTCATGAAACGTTTTACAGCAAAATTCTGAAATCGTCCGTGCATGTGTGTTTAAGGTTGTATATGTGTACTGTTTTTCCGATTGACGTTTAATGGTGTTGATTGGATTGATATGTAGTTGTTTATTGAGCGTGCCCTAGCTCCGCTTGCTTCTCTACACAGACAAGGGTGCAGAAAAATGCAACAATGTTGTGACAGGCGCTGATAGCTTGTTGTACTTGCAAAAGTATTGCAGTATTTTACCACCTGAATTACAAACAGAGATTGCATTGGGGGGGGGGGGGACTGCGGTCAGTATTGGTTTGAGGTTCGTTATCAAGAAAATGATCGGGAATGAATTGCATTCAAGTCAATGGAGTGTTCTATGCTGCTGTGAGGAGCTGTATAATAAATTTATTAATAATATTAGAATATATTTAATGTTTAAATTAATACATCCGGACGCCGAAAACTAATTCGGTATTCTTTTACTTATATATTGTGTTAGCCGTGCATTGCTTTAGTGCCATTTCATCAGTGATTGTTGCAAGACTTCAAGTTGCGCTAATGCTAATGTTAGCATTACGTATTCAGATCGCAAATAAAACTAGGTGGCTCCGTGGGATGAGAGGTAGGGGAAATGAGAGCCCATTGAGCGAGTTGGGGGGCGGTGCTAAACATTCAAACATTGCAAGAAACGGGATATATCGCCTTTACCTGCAATATTTGAAGAAATGGGAGGAGTCTGCTCTGCTCCGTCCTGGGTCTGATGCAGGCCACAGCGGCCTTTCTGAAACTGGCTTGGACACTTGGCTTACCAAAGCTTTTAGCGCCGTACTAGATGGTGTTGGTTTTACTCAGTAATGTTGCCCGGAAACTACGTCCCATTCATAACCACACTTGGACCTTGTCTGTACCTACGGTAGTAAGGTTTCCCATCTTGACGTCCTGCCGGCAAAGGCTCGTCGCTGTCTGTCATTTCTTGATCACGTTTGATCTTCGCTTTGGAGGACTTTCCTGCGCTGCAAGATAAAACCATACTCAAGACTCAGATTCAGATTCAGATTCATTTTATTAGCCTGTGCAGTATACAAACTACATTGGGAATACATTTGCTAAAGAAAGGTACTCTGTGTGCACCGACAGAATAAAGAAAACACGATTGACAATGTTAATATATAACTACACATACACTGATATAAAGAATAAAAAAAACAGCTGACACTGTGGCACGATCAACAAAACGATACAAGGTAAAAGCAGGAATTAAAGTGCTCGTTTAGGCACCTACAGCTTGTGGAAAGAGCTGTTAGCATAGCGAGATGTCTTGATCTCAGCGGATCCGATATCTTCTGCCAGAGGGAGAAGCTGGAACATGGCTTTTCTTCCTCTCCCAGTGTGGCCAGAGAGTCATTAACAATCTAAGAGCTCTGTTTAAAGTCTGGATTTATAAGAACCTCCAGAACAGGAAGCTCACAAGCCCTCGGTCCTACCTTTGCAGTGCGGAGCACCTTGTTTATAAGTCTCTTTTCTTTATCTGTGATGTTACCAAAATCCACACAGACCACAGAACAATAAGTAAACTCTCAGTGGAGCAACGCTAAAAGTTAGCAGAATCTTAGGAAGTTAGTGGTAAATTCTCTAAGTTTCCGCAAAAAGAAGGAGCCCGCTGACGTGCTTTCTTAACGACCGGTTAGTATTTTTGTCCCCATTTCAGGTCGTTTGACAGAGTTAAACCAGAACTTGCACTCCTCGACGATCTGCCACCTGGGGTTGTCATACTACAGGAGTGTGAGAAACTGCTATGACTGAAGTCAAAGGACAAGATGGGAATGGTTTTAACTCCACGGAAAAACATGTTATCTTGCTCTATAGTAACGGCGATGAGGTGGTGTCATCAGCTAACGCCGTTACTTTTTTCAGTAAAAAGCAATGAGTAATCCCTGAGGTGAACCAGTGCTCATTTGGCGATGGGACTTTGACTAGTAACGGCGTTACTAACACCGTAACTTTTTTCGCGTTATCATTTCCGACCAGTACCTCCCGTTACTGCGTTACGTTACTCAAGAAGCACAATGAACGTGTTGTCACTCTCTCTGGTCTCACTCTCTCTGGTCTCACTCTGGTCTCTCTCTCTGGTCTCTCTCTGGTCTCTCTCTGGTCTCTCTCTGGTCTCTCTCTGGTCTCTCTCTGGTCTCTCTCTGGTCTCTCTCTGGTCTCTCTCTCTGGTCTCACTCTGATCTCTCTCTGATCTCTCTATGGTCTCACTCTCTCTGGTCTCTCTCTGGTCTCTCTCTGATCTCTCTCTCTGGTCTCTCTCTGATCTCTCTCTGGTCTCACTCTGGTCTCTCTCTCTGGTCTCTCTCTGGTCTCTCTCTGGTCTCTCTCTGGTATCTCTCTGGTCTCTCTCTCTCTGGTCTCTCTCTGGTCTCTCTCTGGTCTCTCTCTGGTCTCTCTCTGGTCTCTCTCTCTCTCTGATCTCACTCTCCCTCTGGTCTCTCTCTCTGGTCTCTCTCTTGTCTCTCTCTTGTCTCTCTCTGGTCTCTCTCTCTCTCTGATCTCTCTCTGGTCTCACTCTTTCTGGTCTCTCTCTGGTCTCTCTCTCTGGTCTCACTCTGATCTCTCTCTCTGGTCTCTCTCTGATCTCTCTCTGGTCTCACTCTCTCTGGTCCAGGGCTGGACTGGGACAAAAAAACGGCCCGGGCATTTTTTCCTTTTTAGCGGCCCAGGCAACTCAAAAGGTTCAAGGAGCCCTATTTGACAAAAAAAAAAGTGTTGTATAAGGCTTATATGAAGGTAACAGGGGCTGAAGCTGTATTAGCTACATTAGCTATATTAGCTATATTAGACTAATATTTAAATGACAAAGTAAAGGCTAAACACATAAAAACCATTCATGATTATCAAATGTGTATTTTCATTGCAGCGTGTCCTGGAGAGAATGACGCACCACGTGACAACTCTGCTTTAAGTTTAACTTCCATTTTTTTGCCTTCATGCAATTGTACAAATACAGTAAATAAATCTGCTTTTTGGCTCCGAGTTCACCTGCATCACTGTCTGTTCATATCCATCACAGGCTGAAGTTTGCTGGCGCTGAATGTCCTTAATGGCCGTTTCTTTCACCGTCTTTGCGAAGGTTTTTGAAGTCTGAAAATATGTTCTCTGACTTTATGATGAATGAATCTTTCAGTGAACGTGTTTAAAGCTTCATTGTTCCTCCTGTTGCAACAAAACTTTTCATTACATCGCAAACATGAAGCAGTCCTTCCTCATTGACTGAAAGCAAATGTTCATTCTCATTCTTAGTCCAGTCTTATCGACTCTCTTTATCTTTGGGATCCATGCGCACACACAGTCTGTAATGCACACGCCGCCTGGCACTTTAGGAGCACTAAAGGTTGCCGACCCCTGGTTTATACAGTATGTGGAAGCAAATACTGTAGAGGATCAGGATCGCTCCAGTTTTAACAATAAAATAAAGTACAATAGTCTACATTAAACAGAGTAATAAACATGTCTCAGAGTGAGGGAGGTGGGCACAGACAATATTGTTTGTTACAGGGATGAGAATTGGTAAAAAATTCTGAAATGCATATTGTCAGCCATTAGCTGGCTCTAAATCTGTTTAATCTGTTCACAACATTTTACTTTTGGGCTCAAACATGTACTTTTAATGCAATGGAAAATTTAGGTACCCGAGCTTTAATTTAGAGGAGAGGGGAGACACAGACTGTTTTCTGCAGCGGTGTATTTATTGGGTGCACAAATTACGAAAGGACATGCATGGTCCTGTGCGCGTTTATGGTCTTGGGTACATGGTCACGTTGCGGCTACGCGCTCACCGTGTTGTGTTGTGAGCAGTTCCCGGTGAGCGGTTCCTGCGTCCAGCTCAGAGCCGCTGGATGCGGGAACACTGCGGCCGCTGAGGTGGTAGAATCCCGTTCGAGTACATACAGCAGGTGCCCCGCGGACACGCGCGCATCCCCTCGAACATTTTTCAACGGATTTACACTTTTCACAAACATGTTTTTTGTATGTGGCAGACAGACCGGCCCAAATATGGGCATCGGCCCTTCGGGCATTGCCCGGTACGCCCGATGGCCAGTCCAGCCCTGCTCTGGTCTCACTCTGGTCTCTCTCTCTGGTCTCTCTCTGGTCTCTCTCTGGTCTCTCTCTGGTCTCTCTCTGGTCTCTCTCTGGTCTCTCTCTGGTCTCTCTCTCTGGTCTCTCTCTGGTCTCTCTCTCTCTCTGATCTCTCTCTGGTCTCACTCTCTCTCTGGTCTGACCGATCTATCCTCAGTCTACATGGAGACAGGATTTCACCCACATTGTCTGATACTGTACAAGGAGTTCATGAATGATATGATATGAATAATGCCATGCAAGCGTCTGTGAAGTACAATGCAGTATTATTAATAGTATTATTAGCAGCAGTGAACATACTACATCACTATAGCTCTTCCCTTTGACATTGTCATTACTACAGCGCAATACGATCGCAGTGTATCTCTCTCACCTTCTACCTGGAGAAGGTCCCTGTCCTGTGGAAGACCTCCTGTGTGATCTCGGTTCCTAAAACTGCGCACGCCAAGGAACCGGCTCACTACAGACCAGTCGCACTGACCTCCCACCTGATGAAGACCATGGAGCACTGACCTCCCACCTGATGAAGACCATGGAGCGGCTCATCCTCACCCATCTCCGCTCCGTGGTCAGCCCCACCCTGGACCCGCTGCAGTTCGCCTACAGACCCAACATCGGAGTAGAGGACGCCGTCATCTACTTCCTGCAGCGGACGCTCTCCCACCTGGAGCCTGCAGGGGGCGCTGTGAGGGTCATGTTCTTCGACTTCTCCAGCGTTTTCAATACCATCAGACCTCACTGCATGGACCATCAACTAGCTCACTGCATGGACCATCAGCTACCTCACTGCATGGACCATCAACTACCTCTCAGAGCGACCACAGTACGTGCGGCTGCGCAGCTGTGAGTTTGAGGTGGTCGTCTGCAGCACTGGGGCCCCTCAGGGCACTGTCCTCTCACCGTTTCTCTTCACCATCTACACCTCAGACTTCACACACGACACACACAGCTGTCACCTGCAGAAGTTCTCCGACGACTCCGCCATCGTGGGCTGTGTGTCTGAGGGGAACCAACTGGAATATCGGTCGGTTATCAAGGACTTTGTCGACTGGTGTGAGCGCAACCACTTGTGCTTGAACACCAGTAGGACCAAGGAGATGGTCATCGACTTCAGGAGAAAACCACTTTCCCACACGCTGCTGAACATCCAGGGGGAGGACATTGAGCTGGTGGACAGCTTCAAGTACCTGGGTGTTCACATTAACAATAAACTGGACTGGTCCATAATACAAACGCCCTGCACAAGAAGGGCCAAAGTCACCTCTTCCTTCTGAGGAGACTGAGATCCTTCTGAGGAGGCTGAGGTCCTTCTGAGGAGGCTGAGGTCCTTCTGAGGAGGCTGAGGTCCTTCGGAGGAGGCTGAGGTCCTTCGGAGGAGGCTGAGGTCCTTCTGAGGAGGCTGAGGTCCTTCTGAGGAGGCTGAGGTCCTTCTGAGGAGGCTGAGGTCCTTCTGAGGAGGCTGAGGTCCTTCTGAGGAGACTGAGGTCCTTCGGAGTGAGCAGGCCTCTGCTCAGGACTTTTTATGACTCTGTGGTAGCTTCTGCCATATACTACGCTGCCGTGTGCTGGGCCCCGGGCAGCACAGAGCGGGACAGAAACAGACTGAACAAGCTGGTCAGGAGGGCCAGCTCCACTCTGGGCTGCTCCCTGGACTCTGTGGAGGAGGTGAGGGACAGGAGGCCCCTGGACTCTGTGGAGGAGGTGAGGGACAGGAGGCCCCTGGACTCTGTGGAGGAGGTGAGGGACAGGAGGCCCCTGGACTCTGTGTGGAGGAGGTGAGGGACAGGAGGCCCCTGGACTCTGTGGAGGAGGTGAGGGACAGGAGGCCCCTGGACTCTGTGGAGGAGGTGAGGGACAGGAGGCCCCTGGACTCTGTGTGGAGGAGGTGAGGGACAGGAGGCCCCTGGACTCTGTGGAGGAGGTGAGGGACAGGAGGCCCCTGGACTCTGTGGAGGAGGTGAGGGACAGGAGGCCCCTGGACTCTGTGTGGAGGAGGTGAGGGACAGGAGGCCCCTGGACTCTGTGGAGGAAGTGAGGGACAGGAGGCCCCTGGACTCTGTGGAGGAGGTGAGGGACAGGACGGTGCTAGCCAAAGCCACCTCCATCATGAACAACACCTCCCACTGCACAGGACTGAGGAGGAGCTGAGGAGCTCCTTCAGTGGAAGACTGAGACACCCTCAGTGTAGGAAGGAGCAGGGCCTTTATCCCCACTGCTGTCAGACTGTACAATAAGTAACTTTAAATGATCACTGTGTGAAAACCTGCACTACTATTGACACTGTTTCCAATTGACACTTGTCACTTTTGTTGTACATAATTATTGTCACTTTATTGTACATATATCCTGCATGTAACATGTTTGCACATTTCCTCCTTTTGCACAATCTGAGTGTTCTATCCATGCCAAATGTGACATGTACATTTCTCCTCTGTGAGATGAATAAAGCACATCTTATCTTATCTCTCTCTCTCTCTTTCTCTCTCCCTCCCTCTCTCTCTCTCTCTATTTCTCTCTCTCTCGCTCTCATTCTCTCTCCCTCCCTCTCTCTCTCTATTTCTCTCTCTCTCTCTCTCTTTCTCTCGCTCTCATTCTCTCTCCCTCTCTCTCCACCGGCGCTCAGGAGCTAATTTTAGCCTTGATGTCATCACACCCAGCTGGATACAGCAATAACCTGACACCACTTTCTTTTCTTTCTCCTCTTCCCTGAACTCGTCTCCTCATCCTCATCTTCCCAACCTTACCCCTTCCTCATATCTTCACCCTTGTCTCCTCATCTCCTCAACCCCCATTCTCATCTCCTCATCCTCTGACATCAGTACATTCCTGCATCTTGTCGCAGTGAATTACGTTGATTGGAGCCTTTAAATCAGTTAATTACACAAGCTACGGGTGAGAGAGAGAGAGAGTGAGAAACAGAGGAAGAGAGACAGAGGGTTAGAGACAGACAGAGAGACAGAGAGAGAGAGAGAGAGAGCAAAGAGAGAGAGAGACCAAAGAGAGAGAGCAGTGAGAGACCAGAGAGCGAGAGATACCAGTGAGAGAGACTATTTTTTCCTATTTTAGAAAATGTACTACATTTGCAATGTTTTATTGTGCCTAATTCTTTTTCTACTTTTGACTTGTTTGCACTGAGAGCCAGAACAGTTTCCAGTCTGGGACTTCCTGTGACTCACTTGAAAATAAACCTGAAATGAAAACAATCGAAACTCACCGGGAAATAGAGGAGGACGGCTCCACACAAAATGGCCTCCAGCAAAACCAGACCTGAGGCACGGACGCTCTGGAACACAAGGTTACAATGGAGAACGTTAGAACCTTAGACTGTTAGACCGTTAGAACGTTTGAACCTTAGAACGTTAGAACTGTAGAACGTTAGACTGATAGACCGTTAGAACGTTTGAACCTTAGAGCGTTAGAACCGTAGAACGTTAGTACCTTAGAACATTAGACTGATAGACCATTATAATGTTTGAACCTTTGAACATTAGAACCTTAGCATGTTAGACCGTTAGAACGTTTGAACCTTAGAACGTTAGAACCGTAGAACATTAGTACCTTAGAACGCTAGACTGTTAGAACGTTTGAACCTTAGAACATTTGAACCATAGAACGTTAGACTGATAGAATGTTAGACTGTTAGACTGATAGAACGTTAGACTGATAGAACGTTAGACTGTTAGAACGTTAGACTGTTAGAACGTTAGACTGTTAGAACGTTAGACTGTTAGAACGTTAGACTGTTAGAACGTTAGACTGTTAGAACGCTAGACTGTTAGAACGCTAGACTGTTAGAACGCTAGACTGTTAGAACGTTTGACTGTTAGAACGTTTGACTGTTAGAACGTTTGACTGTTAGAACGTTTGACTGTTAGAATGTTAGACTGTTAGAACGTTAGACTGTTAGAACGTTTGACTGTTAGAACGTTTGACTGTTAGAACGTTTGACTGTTAGAACGTTCGATTGTTAGAATGTTAGACTGTTAGAACGTTAGACTGTTAGAACGTTAGACTGTTAGAACGTTAGACTGTTAAAACGCTAGACTGTTAGAACGTTCGATTGTTAGAACGTTAGACTGTTAGAACGTTAGAACGTTAGACTGTTAGAACGCTAGACTGTTAGAACGCTAGACTGTTAGACGTTAGAACGCTAGACTGTTAGAACGTTAGACTGTTAGAACGTTAGACTGTTAGAACGTTAGACTGTTAGAACGCTAGACTGTTAGAACGCTAGACTGTTAGAACGTTTGACTGTTAGAACGTTTGACTGTTAGAACGTTTGACTGTTAGAACGTTTGACTGTTAGAACGTTAGACTGTTAGAACGTTAGACTGTTAGAACGTTTGACTGTTAGAACGTTTGACTGTTAGAACGTTTGACTGTTACTGTTAGAACGTTCGATTGTTAGAATGTTAGACTGTTAGAACGTTAGACTGTTAAAACGTTAGACTGTTAAAACGCTAGACTGTTAGAACGTTCGATTGTTAGAACGTTAGACTGTTAGAACGTTAGAACGTTAGACTGTTAGAACGCTAGACTGTTAGAACGCTAGACTGTTAGAACGCTAGACTGTTAGAACGTTTGACTGTCAGAACGTTAGAACATTAGATTGTTAGAACGTTAGACTGTTAGAACGTTAGACTGTTAGAACGTTAGACTGTTAGAACGCTAGACTGTTAGAACGCTAGACTGTTAGAACCTTTGACTGTTAGAACGTTTGACTGTTAGAACGTTAGATTGTTAGAATGTTAGACTGTTAGAACGTTAGACTGTTAGAACGTTAGACTGTTAGAACGTTAGACTGCTAGAACGCTAGACTGTTAGAACGTTAGACTGTTAGAACGTTAGATTGTTAGAACGTTAGACTGTTAGAACGTTAGATTGTTAGAACGTTAGAACGTTAGACTGTTAGAACGTTAGATTGTTAGAACGTTAGACTGTTAGAACGTTAGATTGTTAGAACGTTAGACTGTTAGAACGTTAGACTATTAGAACGTTAGATTGTTAGAACGTTAGATTGTTAGAACGTTAGATTGTTAGAACGTTAGATTGTTAGAACGTTAGATTGTTAGAACGTTAGATTGTTAGAACGTTAGAACGTTAGATGTTAGAACGTTAGACTGTTAGAACGTTAGACTGTTAGAACGTTAGATTGTTAGAACGTTAGAACGTTAGACTGTTAGAACGTTAGACTGTTAGAACGTTAGACTGTTAGAACGTTAGACTGTTAGAACGTTAGATTGTTAGAACGTTAGATTGTTAGAACGTTAGATTGTTAGAACGTTAGATTGTTAGAACGTTAGATTGTTAGAACGTTAGAACGTTAGACTGTTAGAACGTTAGACTGCTAGAACGTTAGAACGTTTGACTGTTACAACGTTAGAACGTTGGAATGATGAGACGCAGGTTAAATCTTTAAAATCTTGAAAAGCTTTAAACCATAAATGCTCCTCTCTGGTGTCTTTATTTAGACTTCAGGAGCCTTTGTCTGGCACAGAATAGTCTGTCCAGAGAGAGTCCAGAGAGAGACCAGAGAGAGACCAGAGAGAGACCAGAGAGAGACCAGAGAGAGACCAGAGAGAGAGACCAGAGAGAGACCAGAGAGAGACCAGAGAGAGAGACCAGAGAGAGACCAGAGAGAGACCAGAGAGAGACCAGAGAGAGAGACCAGAGAGAGACCAGAGAGAGACCAGAGAGAAAGGCCAGAGAGAGACCAGAGAGAGACCAGAGAGAGACCAGAGAGAAAGGCCAGAGAGAGACCAGAGAGAGACCAGAGAGAGACCAGAGAGAGACCAGAGAGAGACCAGAGAGAGAGACCAGAGAGAGACCAGAGAGAGACCAGACAGAGACCAGAGAGAGACCAGAGAGAGACTAGAGAGGGAGACCAGAGAGAGATCAGAGAGAGACCAGAGAGAGAGAGACCAGAGAGACCTGAGAGAGACCAGAGAGAGAGCAGAGAGAGACCACAGAGAGACAATAGAGAGAGACTAGAGAGAGACCAGAGAGAGGCCAGAGTGAGACCAGAGAGAGACTAGAGAGGGAGACCAGAGAGAGACCAGAGAGAGGGACCAGAGAGACCTGAGAGTGAGACCTGAGAGAGAGATCAGAGAGAGACCAGAGAGAGATCACAGAGAGACTATAGAGAGAGACCAGAGAGAGAGACCAGAGAGAGGCCAGGGTGAGACCAGAGAGAGACTAGAGTGAGAGACCGGAGAGAGACCAGAGAGAGACCATAGAGAGACTATAGAGAGAGACCAGAGAGAGACCAGAGAGAGAGACGCAAGGTCTCTGGTGCTGGTCCCGGCGGCAACCCCCGAACCCGGTGGTGGACACCGGCAGTAAGGGATGCTGTCAGGCTGAAGAAGGAGTCCTATCGAGCCATGATGGTTCGGGGGACTCCTGAGGCAGCTGTCCAGTACCGGCAGGCCAAGCGTGCCGCGGCCCGGGCTGTTGCAGAGGCAAAAACCCGGGACTGGGAGGAGTTCGGAGAGTCCATGGAGCATGACTATCGGTCGGCCTCGAAGAGATTCTGGCAAACCATCCGGCGCCTCAGGAGGGGGAAGCAGTTCTTTGCCAACACCATGTACGGTGCGGGTGGAGAGCTGCTGACCTCGACTGGGGATATTGTCGGGCGGTGGAAGGAATACTTTGAGGTTCTCCTCAATCCCCCCGTCACGTCCTCTGTTACAGAGGCAGAGGCTGAGGATGTTGGGGCGGGTACATCCATCTCCCTGGCTGAGGTCACCAAGGTGGTTGGTAGCCTCCATGGTGGCAAGGCGCCGGGAGTGGATGAGATCCGTCCTGATTATCTAAAGTCTCTGGATGTTGTAGGACTGTCTTGGCTGACACGTCTCTGCAACATCGCGTGGCGATCGGGGGCGGTGCCGATGGAGTGGCAGACCGGGGTGGTGGTCCCTCTCTACAAGAAGCAACGGATAAAGCGGAAGAAAATGGATGGATGGATGGATGGATGGATAGAGAGTGTGACCAGAGAGAGACCAGAGAGAGATCAGAGAGAGACCAGAGAGAGATCAGAGAGAGACCTGAGAGAGAGACCAGAGAGAGACCAGAGAGAGAGAGACCAGAGAGACCTGAGGGAGAGACCTGAGAGAGAGACCAGAGAGAGACCAGAGAGAGACCAGAGAGAGACCAGAGAGAAAGACCAGAGAGAGACCAGAGTGTGACCAGAGAGAGACCAGAGAGAGATCAGAGAGAGACCAGAGAGAGACCAGAGAGAGACCAGAGAGAGACCAGAGAGAGACCAGAGAGAGACCAGAGAGAGATCAGAGAGAGACTAGAGAGAGAGACCAGAGAGAGACCAGAGAGAGACCAGAGAGAGACTAGAGAGAAAGACCAGAGAAAGATACCAGAGAGAGGCCAGAGTGAGACCAGAGAGAGACTAGAGAGGGAGACCAGAGCGAGACCAGAGAGAGACCAGAGAGAGACCAGAGAGAAAGACCATAGAGACACCAGAGAGAGAGACCAGAGAGAAAGACCAGAGAGAGACCAGAGAGAGACCAGAGAGAGACCAGAGAGAGACCAGAGAGAGAGACCAAAGAGAGGCCAGAGAGAGACCAGAGAGAGACCAGAGAGAAAGACCAGAGAGACACCAGAGAGAGACACCAGAGAGAAAGACCAGAGAGAGACCAGAGAGAGACCAGAGAGAGACCAGAGAGAGACCAGAGAAAGACAGGAGAGAGAGAGAGACCAGAAAGAGACCAGAAAGAGACCAGAGAGAGAGACCAGAAAGAGACCAGAGAGAGACCAGAAAGAGACCAGAGATGGGGATCCGAGAGACCAGAGAGAGACCAGAGAGAGACCAGAGAGAGAGACCAGAGAGGGACCAGAGGGAGACTAGAGGGAGACAGAGAGATACCAGAGAGCAGAGAGAAAACAGAGAGAGACCAGAGAGAGACCAGAGAGAGACCAGAGAGAGACCAGAGAGGGACCAGAGATGGGGATCCGAGAGACCAGATTGAAAGAGACAGAGAAGTGGGCGTGGTTTGCCAGGCTAATGCTAGCTTTAGCATAATTTGTATTGTGTGTCGAAGCAAACAGTGAGGAATCACACATAACAATCTCATCAGTGTCTGGGGCCTGCACCAGTATAACCAGTATCGGTCTCACCTGGTTCCCCTCACACCAGTATCGGTCTCACCTTGTTCCTCCTATAGTGGTAGATGAGGACCATGCTGATGAAGAGGAGGAGCATACAGAGACTCTGGAAGGAGACCACAGCGAGCCTGAGAGCCCCATCCTCCCGTGGCACACACGGCGTATCGTCCCGACAGAAGCCACAGCCAGCAGCACAGGGTAGACAGTCGCTGGACCAGCCCTCGTCTGCATTAGGACCACTCTCTGAGACTCTCCCGCTTTTCCCGGGCCCTGCAGAAGCACACAACACCATCAGGGTTTCTCACAGTGTCAGTACAGAGAGCACAGAGAGAGAGCAGAGAGAGACCAGAGAGAGAGCAGAGAGAGAGCAGAAAGAGACCAGAGAGAGACCAGAGAGAGACCAGAGAGAGACCAGAGAGAGACCAGAGAGAGACCAGACATACAGACCAGAAAGAGACCAGTGAGAGACAAGAGAGAGACCAGAGGGAGACTAGAGGGAGACAGAGAGATACCAGAGAGCAGAGAGAAAACAGAGAGAGACCAGAGAGAGACCAGAGAGAGACCAGAGAGAGACCAGAGAGAGACCAGAGAGAAACCAGACAGAGACCAGAGAGATACCAGAGTGGGTTAGGGTTAGGGTTAGGCTAACCCTAACCCTCTGTGTGGACAGTGTCTCTGTGTGGACGAAGTGTCTCTGTGTGGACAGTGTCTCTGTGTGGACAGTGTCTCTGTGTGGACGAAGTGTCTCTGTGTGGACGAAGTGTCTCTGTGTGGACGAAGTGTCTCTGTGTGGACGAAGTGTCTCTGTGTGGACAGTGTCTCTGTGTGGACAGTGTCTCTGTGTGGACAGTGTCTCTGTGTGGACAGTGTCTCTGTGTGGACAGCGTCTCTGTGTGGACAGTGTCTCTGTGTGGACAGCGTCTCTGTGTGGACAGTGTCTCTCTGTGGACACAGTGTCTCTGTGGACAGTGTCTCTGTGTGGACACAGTGTCTCTGTGTGGACAGTGTCTCTGTGTGGACGAAGTGTCTCTGTGTGGACAGTGTCTCTGTGTGGACACAGTGTCTCTGTGTGGACAGTGTCTCTGTGTGGACACAGTGTCTCTGTGTGGACAGTGTCTCTGTGTGGACAGTGTCTCTGTGTGGACAGCGTCTCTGTGTGGACAGTGTCTCTGTGTGGACACAGTGTCTCTGTGGACAGTGTCTCTCTGTGGACACAGTGTCTCTGTGTGGACAGTGTCTCTGTGTGGACACAGTGTCTCTGTGTGGACAGTGTCTCTGTGTGGACAGTGTCTCTGTGTGGACACAGTCTCTGTGTGGACAGCGTCTCTCTGTGGACAGTGTCTCTGTGTGGACAGTGTCTCTGTGTGGACAGTGTCTCTGTGTGGACAGTGTCTCTGTGTGGACACAGTGTCTCTGTGTGGACAGTGTCTCTGTGTGGACAGTGTCTCTGTGTGGACAGTGTCTCTGTGTGGACACAGTCTCTGTGTGGACAGCGTCTCTCTGTGGACAGTGTCTCTGTGTGGACAGTGTCTCTGTGTGGACAGTGTCTCTGTGTGGACAGTGTCTCTGTGTGGACACAGTGTCTCTGTGTGGACAGCGTCTCTGTGTGGACAGTGTCTCTGTGTGGACAGTGTCTCTGTGTGGACAGCGTCTCTCTGTGGACAGTGTCTCTGTGTGGACAGCGTCTCTGTGTGGACAGTGTCTCTGTGTGGACAGTGTCTCTGTGTGGACAGCGTCTCTGTGTGGACAGTGTCTCTGTGTGGACAGTGTCTCTGTGTGGACAGTGTCTCTGTGTGGACAGCGTCTCTGTGTGGACAGCGTCTCTGTGTGGACAGTGTCTCTGTGTGGACAGTGTCTCTGTGTGGACAGTGTCTCTGTGTGGACAGTGTCTCTGTGGACAGTGTCTCTGTGTGGACACAGTGTCTCTGTGTGGACACAGTGTCTCTGTGTGGACAGTGTCTCTGTGTGGACACAGTGTCTCTGTGTGGACAGTGTCTCTCTGTGGAGAGTGTCTCTATGTGGACAGTGTGTGTCTGTGTGGACAGTGTCTCTGTGTGGACAGCGTCTCTGTGTGGACACAGCGTCTCTCTGTGGACAGTGTCTCTGTGTGGACAGTGTCTCTGTGTGGACAGTGTCTCTGTGTGGACACAGTGTCTCTGTGTGGACAGTGTCTCTGTGTGGACAGTGTCTCTGTGTGGACACAGTGTCTCTGTGTGGACAGTGTCTCTGTGGACAGTGTCTCTCTGTGGACACAGTGTCTCTGTGTGGACAGTGTCTCTGTGTGGACACAGTGTCTCTGTGTGGACAGTGTCTCTGTGTGGACAGTGTCTCTCTGTGGACAGTGTCTCTGTGTGGACACAGTCTCTGTGTGGACAGCGTCTCTCTGTGGACAGTGTCTCTGTGTGGACAGCGTCTCTGTGTGGACAGTGTCTCTGTGTGGACAGTGTCTCTGTGTGGACAGTGTCTCTGTGTGGACAGCGTCTCTGTGAGCGTGGACAGCGTCTCTCTGTGGACAGTGTCTCTGTGTGGACAGCGTCTCTGTGTGGACAGCGTCTCTTTGTGGACAGCGTCTCTCTGTGGACAGTGTCTCTGTGTGGACACAGTGTCTCTGTGTGGACAGCGTCTCTGTGTGGACAGTGTCTCTGTGGACAGTGTCTCTGTGTGGACAGTGTCTCTGTGTGGACAGTGTCTCTGTGTGGACAGTGTCTCTCTGTGGACACAGTGTCTCTGTGTGGACAGTGTCTCTGTGTGGACAGTGTCTCTCTGTGGACACAGTGTCTCTGTGTGGACAGTGTCTCTGTGTGGACAGTGTCTCTGTGTGGACAGTGTCTCTGTGTGGACAGTGTCTCTCTGTGGACACAGTGTCTCTGTGTGGACAGTGTCTCTCTGTGGACAGTGTCTCTGTGTGGACACAGTGTCTCTGTGTGGACACAGTGTCTCTGTGTGGACAGTGTCTCTGTGTGGACAGTGTCTCTGTGGTGGACAGTGTCTCTCTCTGTGGACAGTGTCTCTGTGTGGACACAGTGTCTCTGTGTGGACACAGTGTCTCTGTGTGGACAGTGTCTCTGTGTGGACAGTGTCTCTGTGTGGACACAGTGTCTCTGTGTGGACAGTGTCTCTGTGTGGACACAGTGTCTCTGTGTGGACACAGTGTCTCTGTGTGGACACAGTGTCTCTCTGTGGACACAGTGTGTGGACACTCTCTGTGGACAGTGTCTCTGTGTGGACACAGTGTCTCTGTGTGGACAGTGTCTCTGTGTGGACAGTGTCTCTGTGTGGGACAGTGTCTCTGTGTGGACAGTGTCTCTGTGTACACAGTCTCTGTGTGGACACAGTGTCTCTGTGTGGACAGTGTCTCTGTGTGGACACAGTGTCTCTGTGTGGACAGCGTCTCTGTGTGGACAGTGTCTCTGTGTGGACAGTGTCTCTGTGTGGACAGTGTCTCTGTGTGGACAGTGTCTCTGTGTGGACAGTGTCTCTGTGTGGACAGTGTCTCTGTGTGGACAGTGTCTCTGTGTGGACAGTGTCTCTGTGTGGACAGTGTCTCTGTGTGGACAGTGTCTCTGTGTGGACAGTGTCTCTGTGTGGACAGTGTCTCTGTGTGGACAGTGTCTCTGTGTGGACACAGTGTCTCTGTGTGGACAGTGTCTCTGTGTGGACAGTGTCTCTGTGTGGACAGTGTCTCTCTGTGTGGACAGTGTCTCTGTGTGGACACAGTGTCTCTGTGTGGACAGTGTCTCTGTGTGGACAGTGTCTCTGTGTGGACACAGTGTCTCTGTGTGGACAGTGTCTCTGTGTGGACAGTGTCTCTGTGTGGACAGCGTCTCTGTGTGGACAGTGTCTCTGTGTGGACAGTGTCTCTGTGTGGACAGTGTCTCTGTGTGGACAGCGTCTCTGTGTGGACAGTGTCTCTGTGTGGACAGTGTCTCTGTGTGGACAGTGTCTCTGTGGGACAGTGTCTCTGTGGACAGTGTCTCTGTGTGGACAGTGTGTGGACAGTGTCTCTGTGTGGACAGTGTCTCTGTGTGGACACGTGTCTCTGTGTGGACAGTGTCTCTGTGTGGACAGTGTCTCTGTGTGGACAGTGTCTCTGTGTGGACAGGTCTCTTGTGGACAGTGTCTCTGTGTGGACAGTGTCTCTGTGTGGACAGTGTCTCTGTGTGGACAGTGTCTCTGTGTGGACAGGTCTCTGTGTGGACAGTGTCTCTGTGTGGACAGTGTCTCTGTGTGGACAGTGTCTCTGTGTGGACAGTGTCTCTGTGTGGACAGTGTCTCTGTGTGGACAGTGTCTCTGTGTGGACAGTGTCTCTGTGTGGACAGTGTCTCTGTGTGGACAGTGTCTCTCTGTGTGGACAGTGTCTCTGTGTGGACAGTGTCTCTGTGTGGACAGTGTCTCTGTGTGGACAGTGTCTCTGTGTGGACAGTGTCTTGTGTGGACACAGTGTCTCTGTGTGGACACAGTGTCTCTGTGTGGACAGTTCTGTGTGGACAGTGTCTCTGTGTGGACACAGTGTCTCTCTGTGGACAGTGTCTCTGTGTGGACAGTGTCTCTGTGTGGACAGTGTCTCTGTGTGGACAGTGTCTCTGTGTGGACAGTGTCTCTGTGTGGACAGTGTCTCTGTGTGGACAGTGTCTCTGTGTGGACAGTGTCTCTGTGTGGACACAGTGTCTCTGTGTGGACAGTGTCTCTGTGTGGACACAGTGTCTCTGTGTGGACAGTGTCTCTGTGTGGACAGTGTCTCTGTGTGGACAGTGTCTCTGTGTGGACACAGTGTCTCTGTGTGGACACAGTGTCTCTGTGTGGACACAGTGTCTCTGTGTGGACACAGTGTCTCTGTGTGGACAGTGTCTCTGTGTGGACAGTGTCTCTGTGTGGACACAGTGTCTCTGTGTGGACAGTGTCTCTGTGTGGACAGTGTCTCTGTGTGGACAGTGTCTCTGTGTGGACAGTGTCTCTGTGTGGACAGTGTCTCTGTGTGGACAGTGTCTCTGTGTGGACAGTGTCTCTGTGTGGACAGTGTCTCTGTGTGGACAGTGTCTCTGTGTGGACAGTGTCTCTGTGTGGACAGTGTCTCTGTGTGGACAGTGTCTCTGTGTGGACAGTGTCTCTGTGTGGACAGTGTCTCTGTGTGGACAGTGTCTCTCTGTGGACAGTGTCTCTGTGTGGACACAGTGTCTCTGTGTGGACACAGTGTCTCTGTGTGGACAGTGTCTCTGTGTGGACAGTGTCTCTGTGTGGACACAGTGTCTCTGTGTGGACAGTGTCTCTGTGTGGACAGTGTCTCTGTGTGGACAGTGTCTCTGTGTGGACACAGTGTCTCTGTGTGGACAGTGTCTCTGTGTGGACAGTGTTGGGATCAGCTTCCTGACACTGGTCTCCGTCACTCTCTGCTGCTCACATCTCAGCTCAGGTCGATGCGGCAGCGCAGAGCGAGACAGAGACGGGTTTCAAAACAAAACAAAGGATAAAGTGGAAATTACAGTGTACTGATACAAGTTTGTCCCAAATTGATCCTAACTGGTGATATAGTTACTGGTGACTTACTGGTGATATAGTTACTGGTGACTTACTGGTGAAACTGTTGACGGCCACTCTGTTGGGATGGTAGAAGCCTTTTTTACACTGACACTGGTACTTGTCCAGGACGAACCCGTATCCTGGTATGGGAAGACACTGGGTACACAAACACATGGTGTCACATGGTGTCAGGCTGAAGAGAAACAGGTCTGAGGTTGGTTGTAAGACTGGCATGTTCTACTAACCCGAAACTTTTCGCTCTCTTGTCTCTTTCTCTGGTCTCTCTCTCTGGTCTCTCTCTGGTCTCTCTCTCTAGTCTCTCTCTGGTCTCTCTCTGGTCTCTCTCTCTGGTCTCTCTCTGCTCTCTCTGGTCTCTCTCTGGTCTCTCTCTGGTCTCTCTCTCTGGTCTCTCTCTGGTCTCTCTCTCTAGTCTCTCTCTGGTCTCTCTCTGGTCTCTCTCTCTGGTCTCTCTCTGCTCTCTCTGGTCTCTCTCTGGTCTCTCTCTGGTCTCTCTCTCTGGTCTCTCTCTGGTCTCTCTCTGGTCTCTCTCTGGTCTCTCTCTCTGCTCTCTCTCTCTGGTCTCTCTCTCTGGTCTCTCTCTGGTCTCTCTCTGGTCTCTCTCTGGTCTCTCTCTGGTCTCTCTCTGCTCTCTCTCTCTGCTCTCTCTCTCTGGTCTCTCTCTCTGGTCTCTCTCTGGTCTCTCTCTGCTCTCTCTCTCTGGTCTCTCTCTGGTCTCTCTCTGCTCTCTGGTCTGTCTCTGGTCTGTCTCTGGTCTCTCCCAGGTCTCTCTGGTCTCTCTCTAGTCTCCCTCTGGTCTCTCTCTGGACTGTCTCTCTGGTCTCTCTCTGGTCTCTCTCTGGTCTGTCTCAGGTCTCTCTCCGGTCTCTCTCTGGTCTCTCTCTGGTCTATCTCTGGTCTGTCTCTGGTCTGTCTCTGGTCTCTCTTTGGTCTGTGTCTGGTCTCTTTCTGGTCTCTCTCTCTGGTCTCTCCCAGGTCTCTCCGGTCTCTCTCTAGTCTCTCTCTGGTCTCTTTCTGGTCTCTCTGTCTGCTCTCTCTCTGGTCTCTCTCTCTCTCTCTCTGGAGAATTTAGATTTGTCTGTGATAAAGAATTTGTGTTGCTTCATTGGGGGTGTGCTAACAACCGGAATCACTACATGTAATAATGAAAAACGCCTACATCCATATTTAGTACATATTTAGTTCCGATGCCTGGTCCAGGGAACAAAGAGCCAGTGCCAGGGGCCGGTGCATGAGAACTTATTCCCTCAGAACCGCTCTGATTGGTCGCGTGCTCTGTTCAGCTTTAGATCCGACATAATCTGCTGTAGAAGTTGCTATGGTTATTCTCTCTGGTCTCTCTCTGGTCTCTCTCTTGTCTCTCCGTGGTCTCTCTCTGGTCTGTCTCTGGTCTGTCTCTGGTCTCTCTCTGGTATGTCTCTGGTATGTCTCTGGTCTGTCTCTGGTCTCTCTCTGGTCTCTCTCTCTAGTCTCTCTCCTTGGTCTCTCTCTGGTCTCTCTCTCTGGTCTCTCTCTGGTCTCTCTCTCTCTGGTCTCTCTCTGGTCTCTCTCTCTGGTCTCTCTCTCTGGTCTCTCTCTGGTCTGTTTCTGGTCTGTCTCTGGTCTCTCTCTGGTCTCTCTCTGGTCTCTCTCTCTGGTCTCTCTCTCTGGTCTCTCTCGGTCTCTCTTGGTCTCTCTCTGGTCTCTCTCTCTGGTCTCTCTCTGGTCTCTCTCTCTGGTCTCTCTCTGGTCTCTCTCTGGTCTCTCTCTGGTCTGTCCTCTGGTCTGTCTCTGGTCTCTCTCTGGTCTCTCTCTGGTCTCTCTCTGGTCTCTCTCTCTGGTCTGTCTCTGGTCTCTCTCTGGTCTCTCTCTGGTCTCTCTCTGGTCTGTCTCTGGTCTCTCTCTGGTCTCTCTCTGGTCTCTCTCTGGTCTCTCTCTCTGGTCTCTCTCTGGTCTCTCTCTGGTCTCTCTCTCTGGTCTCTCTCTGGTCTCTCTCTCTGGTCTCTCTCTGGTCTCTCTCTGGTCTGTCTCTGGTCTGTCTCTGGTCTGTCTCTGGTCTCTCTCTGGTCTCTCTCTGGTCTCTCTCTGGTCTCTCTCTGGTCTGTCTCTGGTCTGTCTCTGGTCTCTCTCTGGTCTCTCTCTGGTCTCTCTCTGGTCTCTCTCTGGTCTCTGCTCTCTCTGGTCTGTCTCTGGTCTTCTGAAGTCTGTCTTGGTCTAAACAAAGTCTCTGGTCTTGAAGGGTCTGTCTCCTGGTCTTAACTCTGGTCTGTCTCTGGTCTGTCTCTGGTCACTCTCTGGTCTGTCTCTGGTCTCTCTCTGGTCTCTCTCTGGTCTGTCTCTGGTCTCTCTCTGGTCTCCTCTGCAGCTCTCTCTGGTCTGTCTCTGGCTCTCTCTGGTCTGAGTTCTGGCTTCTCTGGTCTCTCTCTCTGGTCTCTCTCTGGTCTCGAGAAAGGCGTCTATCTAGCTGGTCTGAGGGTCTCTCTTCTGGTCACTCAAATGGTTCTCTCTCTGGTCTCTCTCTGGTCTTTCTCTTAATCTCTCTCTCTGGTCTCTCTCTGGTCTCTCTCTGTAAGAAAGTCATTTCACTTACTGAGTGTTCTTCCTTAGTGGTCTCTCTCTGGTCTCTCTCTGGTCTCTCTCTGGTCTGTCTCTGGTCTGTCTCTGGTCTCTCTCTGGTCTCTCTCTGGTCTCTCTCTGGTCTCTCTCTGGTCTCTCTCTCTGGTCTCTCTCTGGTCTCTCTCTGGTCTCTCTCTGGTCTCTCTCTGGTCTCTCTCTGGTCTGTCTCTGGTCTCTCTCTGGTCTGTCTCTGGTCTCTCTCTGGTCTCTCTCTGGTCTCTCTCTGGTCTCTCTCTGGTCTGTCTCTGGTCTCTCTCTGGTCTGTCTCTGGTCTGTCTCTGGTCTCTCTCTGGTCTCTCTCTGGTCTCTCTCTGGTCTCTCTCTGGTCTCTCTCTGGTCTCTCTCTGGTCTCTCTCTCTGGTCTCTCTCTGGTCTCTCTCTGGTCTCTCTCTGGTCTCTCTCTGGTCTCTCTCTGGTCTGTCTCTGGTCTCTCTCTGGTCTGTCTCTGGTCTGTCTCTGGTCTGCTCTCTGGTCTCTCTCTGGTCTCTCTCTGGTCTCTCTCTGGTCTGTCTCTGGTCTGTCTCTGGTCTCTCTCTGGTCTGTCTCTGGTCTCTCTCTGGTCTCTCTCTGGTCTCTCTCTGGTCTGTCTCTGGTCTCTCTCTGGTCTCTCTCTGGTCTCTCTCTGGTCTCTCTCTGGTCTCTCTCTGGTCTCTCTCTGGTCTCTCTCTGGTCTGTCTCTGGTCTTTCTCTGGTCTGTCTCTGGTCTCTCTCTGGTCTCTCTCTGGTCTCTCTCTGGTCTGTCTCTGGTCTGTCTCTGGTCTCTCTCTGGTCTCTCTCTGGTCTCTCTCTGGTCTGTCTCTGGTCTCTCTCTGGTCTGTCTCTGGTCTCTCTCTGGTCTGTCTCTGGTCTCTGCAGAATACAGCATGTCTCCTTTGAAGTGTGTGTTTTAAAACAAAAGTGTTAACAATAGTTTTGCAAGGAGCTTAAGTTCCTGGTTTTAACATTTATTTTCACTTTCTAAATCACTCAGTGACAGTAAATGGTCTCCTTGCTCTTTGTAATGGACAAAGGTCTTCTTTAATCCAGGGCAGCGTGTCTCATCTGTACGTCTGCTTCTGTTTGGTGTGAGTTAGCCGCAGCTGTGGAGATTGTGAAACAAAGAGCTTCTCAAATGGACTCGAGGAAAAGAGCAGTTATATATAGCGGAGGCTGGAGGTGGCACAGAGGTCACGGCAAATGCTTTTCTCCTGGAATATTCTCCGATTTTTTTTGTTTAATCAAATTTGAAAATAACCGGCTACAAACACATGTAAAGAAAGTCATTTCACTTACTGAGTGTTCTTCCTTAGTGGTCTCTCTCTGGTCTCTCTCTGCTCTGCTCTCTCTCTCTGGTCTCCCTCTGTCTCTCTCTGGTCTCTCTCTGCTCTGCTCTCTCTCTCTGGTCTCCCTCTGGTCTCCCTCTGGTCTCCCTCTGGTCTCCCTCTGGTGTCTCTCTCTGGTCTCTCAGTCTCCTGTACCTTCAGACCATGTACTGTATGTACAGTATATGTATATATATAATCATGTGAAGGAAACTCTTCCCCCACTCACTCACCTCTCCCCCTGCCCCCCCCCCCCCCCACTCACCTCTCCCCCCCCTCTCACTCACTCACCCCCCCTCACTCACCTCTACCCCTGCCCCCCCCCCCACTCACCTCTCCCCCCTCACTCACCTCTCTCCCCTCCCCCCCCCCCGCTCACCTCCATAGTGGTGCTGTTGCACCGATGTGTCCCTGAGAACCAGCCGTGGGAGGAGCATTGGTCGATGTCTACGTCCTGGAGGTTAATGTCCAGTCGCACCACGCCTCTGCAACACAGAGGTCAGAGGTCACATTATACACATGTCAAGCTGATTTATTTGTGTGGCAAAGTTTGTACACAAGATCATAACACATAATCACAAAACATGTTGGAACATGAGACACAGGCACTGGCTCTGCCCATAGAGTAAGCAAGTGTGACATCACCACAGTGTGACATCAATAATAATAATAATAATAATAATAATAATAATGCATCAGTTTTATACAGCGCTTTTTTGGACACTCAAAGACGCTTTACATCTCTCTCTCCAAACACGGTGGTGATAAACTACTACTGTAGCCACAGCTGCCCTGGGGCACACTGACAGAAGCGAGGCAACCAGTCTGTGCCATCGGCCCCTCCCACCACCACCAACCATTCACACACACACCAGACTCATTCTAGGCAATGGAGGTGAAGTGTCTTGCCTAAGGACACAACAGCAGTTTGGCACTTTACAGCCGCAGCCGCCCCACTGTGGCTGGTGTTCCCAGAGGTTAAGTGTCTTGCCCAAGGACACAACGACAGCAAACAGTGGGAGTCAATGATGAAAGTCTTAAGGTGGGCTCGAACCCACGACTTTCTGGCTCAAAGGCCAACGCTCTAATAATAATAATAATAATACCTTTAATTTGTAATGCACTTTACATACAAATCTCAAAGTGCTACAGCACAACAACATCATTAAAGATAAAACAATGTTAAAACAATGTTAAGAAGGGAACAGAAAAGTTTTAAGTCCTCTTTTGAAGTTCTCCAATGACTGTGGGGCCCTCAGGTGTGGTGGTAGGGCGTTCCACAGTTTGGGAGCAGCCGCCTGAAAAGCCCTGTCACCCATTGTCCGGAGTTTAGTTCTGGGGATGGAGAGGAGGGTGGTGTCTGTGGACCGGAGTGCTCTGGTTATGGGCGGAGGAGTGAGAAGTTCTGTGAGATAGTCCGGGGCAGGTCCGTGGATGCATTGGTAGGTGAGGAGGCAGATTTTGTATTGGATGCGTTGGATGATTGGAAGCCAGGGAAGATCGCGGAGGACTGGGGTGATGTGCTTCGGCGTCCTCGTCAGGATCCTGGCAGCGGTATTTTGGATATGCTGAAGCTTTTGAAGGCTTTTAAAAGCTCTACCAACTGAGCTGCTGTCGCCTTGACATCACCTCCGTGTGACATCACCACAGTGTTAACTTAGTTAGTGTTAGCCTTAGTTAGTGTTAGCCTTAGCTGGGGAAACAGTGGCTCAGTTTGTCTCAGTTTATACGGTGGGTTTGAGCCCACCACAAAAACCTTCTCCACCAACTTCACTGATGTCTGCTGTCGTTGTGTCCTTGGGCAAGACACTTAAACCACTTTGCCTTTAAGGAGCGGATGTAATGTTTGCTGCCTTGATGTGTGTATGTATTGATCAAACTGAAATATCCCCACCGTGGGACGAATAAAGGACCTTCTTCTTCATCTTAAGGCAGAAGTAGCATGGAGTTAGCTTTGCATTGTCCATCTGTATACAGACTGTGTTGTGTTAGCATTTGTATACAGTCTGTGTTAGCATTAGCATTTGTATACAGTCTGTGTTAGCATTAGCATCTGTCTCTTTTTTATTTATCTTTATATAATTGTCTTTATTTGCATTATTTCAAGGTCTGACAACTCATGGCAGATGGCAATGACAGTTCAAAACAAGAAAAAAGAAAGAAAAAAAAAAGGATGCCCCAGCTATAGCCAAAAGAATAAAAAATAAAAAAGTACTAAAATGTTCTCTGCAAAAAAAAATAATAGTACTGGCATCAGTCAAATAAAGAAAGTCATGACAAAAGTGGATATAAAAGACCAGATATAGACAGACAAGACACAGACGGAGAAGACACCGACAGAAAAGACGTTCACTCCTGCTGCTCCACTCCAATAGGTCTAACAATGTTTGAAAATACTTTTATTTATTTATTTATTTTTGCGGACAGTGTTGGGCTGATTACAGGGCTTCATATATTGTTCCCCATGCATAGTTAAATTGTACTTGGTTATTTTTTCCGCTGACAGGGTTCTTTCAAGGCTTAAATAATATTTCAATAAGGACCCACTTCTACATGTAGCAGTCGTTTTGTCCTTTTCCACATATTCAGGGTGCTATTGATTTCCCGGTTGTAATTGGTAATTCTCTATTTCAATCCATGGATCTTTGTTAGTGTGGTTAAAGATACGATCTATATAAAACATCTGTGCTGCAGTCTGATACAGCTCCATATTAGGGAGGCTTAGCCCTCCTTCGTGTTTAAAAAATGAGATAATTGAATTTATAAATATATGAATTTTATAAAATGTTTTCGGTGGAGTCAAAGGTATGCATTGAAAGATATATACATTTTTTTTTATTACATTTATTTTGCCAATTACGTTTAACCTTAGGTCAGAGTACTTATCAAGACTGTTCAAAATCATTTTTTAACCCTTGAAAGTAATTCTTAAAAAATGTTTTTTTTTTATCAGCGCTTATATAGCAGCCTAAGTATTTAATCTTAGTTTGTACCTTAAATTGTTTTAATTGTTCCATTTGTTCTTGATTTTGATTGATTAATAAAATTTCAGTTTTTACCATGTTTATTTTATATACTGATATTTTTGAAAATTGCCGTATTATAGTCATTGTATAATGCTGTACGTTTAACAGTACGTTTGTATCTGTATTAACTTGCAGCAGTTGGTTTAATTTACACTCCAGACCGTCGAGTTATAATCTGGCTCCGACGTCTCCGTATTTGCCATTTTCACTTGCTGCCTCGTGACCACAGTTTTAGGCATAAGTGTCAGCTTGACCTGTCCAGTACTCTTTGTAATCACGGTGCGGATCGACTTTGACAAAGTGTGGCCTTTCTCCAGTCGGGGGACTTTAAAATAGCAGTTTTTAAGCCAAAAGTTTCACACGTCGTGAGGAGCTCTTAGCTCATACGACCTCTCACGCCGCACATGCTCAGCATCTGTCTCTTTCAGACACAATGAAGTGTATATTAAATGCAGTAAATGTTATTTTCTCGCTGCTGAGGACACTCCCCCGCAGTCTGACAGCGGCCACACTTTAGAATCTGCCTCAGGACAAAACAATCTATAAGTTCAGAAAATCTATACATAAATCAAGTGCATAACTTTCTGGGCCGCATCCCTCCCACATCAGCAGTGTTCATATTCCACAGCCCTCAAGGGAAAAGAACAAACTTTATCAAAACTTAAACATTAACAGAAATATTTTTGAATTAAATACATTTATTCTGTTCTAATGAATGAGCTCATGTCAAACATACCTCATATTTGTGAGATAAATAATGAATTATAATAAAACATTCATTCAGTTCATAAACACAGACCACAAGCATCACATTGTGTCTGTAGTTTTCTTCTTCTGCTGTCACAGACTTAGACCATTACATTATGTCTGTAGTTTTCTTCTTCTGCTGTCACAGACTTAGACCATTACATTATGTCTGTAGTTTTCTTCTTCTGCTGTCACAGACTTAGACCATTACATTATGTCTGTAGTTTTCTTCTTCTGCTGTCACAGACTTAGACCATTACATTATGTCTGTAGTTTTCTTCTTCTGCTGTCACAGACTTAGACCATTACATTATGTCTGTAGTTTTCTTCTTCTGCTGTCACAGACTTAGACCATTACATTATGTCTGTAGTTTTCTTCTTCTGCTGTCACAGACTTAGACCATTACATTATGTCTGTAGTTTTCTTCTTCTGCTGTCGATGCCTTAGGCCTTGTTCACAGAGACGCAGCCTGAATCTGCAGGAGGAGCATCTGGAGTCTGCTCTGGCATTGGGGTCGGTGGTGACATTTTCACGTTGAGGTGTGATATTGAGGGACCCCTCGGTGATCAGAGGAGTCCCCATGACGACAGAAGCCTCTCCGCCTCAGGAGAGGTTAACCCTTCACTAAGCAACAACATGGATGCTAACGATAGACCAGGCATAGTAGCAAAACTATAAAAGCATAATAGCAGAGTCGCATGTACAGACGTTTGTTTACGACCTTCAGATTTTAGTCCTGGACAGGGGCAGTCCATGATGTCCTGGACAGGGGCAGTCCATAGGTCTGTGCCTCCTGTACTGGCCCCGCTCCCATCTGTGTGTGGAGTGAGAAACAAATGCCCACAATTGTAAAATGCTTTGCGAGTCTGGTCTGTGAAAGGCGCGATATAAATAAACAATACTTACTTACTTAGTCCATAGACCAGGACTGGGGCAGTCCATTGTAGATCTAATCCTGGTCATCACACTCAATACACAATATATTTTTCTATTTAAGAAAAGTAATAATTTGGTCAAAACCTTCATGATTATAAAAATCACAGATACAAATTAAGATTTTAAAACAAACTTATTCTTTTCCTGTTTTCGTTCTTTTCAGAGAAACGTAATATTTATCATTCCAGATGTTTGGATTATTGCAAAGTGTGTAATTCTTATGGTCCACATCTGCATAGATCTGTTTGTTCTGATATTTTAAAATATACAGTATATATGTATTTTAGGCTCAGCCATGAAGCACTCCTGCAGTGAGACCATGAAGCACTCCTGCATTGGGACCATGAAGCACTCCTGCTGTGGGACCATGAAGCACTCCTGCTGTGTGACCATGAAGCACTCCTGCAGTGGGACCATGAAGCATTCTTGCTGTGGGACCATGAAGCACTACTGCAGTGGGACCATGAAGCACTCCTGCAGTGGGACCATGAAGCATTCTTGCTGTGGGACCATGAAGCACTACTGCAGTGGGACCATGAAGCACTCCTGCTGTGTGACCATGAAGCACTCCTGCAGTGGGACCATGAAGCACTACTGCAGTGGGACCATGAAGCACTCCTGCAATGGGACTATGTAGCACTACTGCAGTGGGACCATGAAACACTCCTGCAGTGGGACCATGAAGCACTCCTGCAGTGGGACTATGAAGCACTCCTGCTGTGGGACCATGAAGCACTCCTGCAGTGGGACCATGAAGCACTCCTGCAGTGGGACCATGAAGCACTCCTGCTGTGGGACCATGAAACACTCCTGCAGTGGGACCATGAAGCATTCCTGCTGTGGGACCATGAAGCACTCCTGCTGTGGGACCATGAAGCACTCCTGCTGTGGGACCATGAAGCACTCCTGCTGTGGGACCATGAAACACTCCTGCAGTGGGACCATGAAGCACTCCTGCAGTGGGACCATGAAGCACTCCTGCTGTGGGACCATGAAGCACTCCTGCAGTGGGACCATGAAGCACTCCTGCAGTGGGACCATGAAGCACTCCTGCTGTGGGACCATGAAGCACTCCTGCAGTGGGACCATGAAGCCTTCCTGCTGTGGGACCATGAAGCACTCCTGCAGTGGGACCATGAAGCACTCCTGCTGGGAGGATCCAGGACACTCTACATTCTACTACATTTATGGACGTTGGTCTCTCCCTATGGTCCAATACCATGTGGTCTCTCCCTATGGTTCAATACCATGTGGTCTCTCCCTATGGTCCAACATCATGTGTTCTATGTCGTCTGAGATAACTACTGTTGTGATTTAAGGTGATACAAAAATAATCAGACTGTCCAGGACCAGGAACATGGGACCAAGTATCTGAATAATCTGAAAAACTAAAGCGTTAGCGACAGTTGATACTACATCTTCTTTAGCTGCTAGCATCTTGTAAACAGGAAGTGAGCGTTGAGCTGGAGACGCTCGATGTTCCACATCTTTCATTATTTATTCATCAGCGTGGTATTGATTGTGTTTTCATGAGGAGAGAGTAAGGCTTAGGGCAGTCTCCTCTTCAAATCAGAGCCAGAGCTGACAGGCGGCCGCAACGCAGCGATACAGCAATACAGCAATAAGGCGATGCAGCACTACAGAGATACAGCGATACAGCGATACAGCGATACAGCGATACAGCGATACAGAGATACAGCGATACAGCGATACAGCGATACAGAGATACAGAGATACAGAGATACAGCGATACAGCGATACAGCGATACAGAGATACAGAGATACAGCGATACAGCGATACAGAGATACAGAGATACAGCGATACAGCGATACAGAGATACAGAGATACAGCGATACAGCGATACAGCGATACAGCGATACAGCGATACAGAGATACAGAGATACAGCGATACAGCGATACAGAGATACAGAGATACAGAGATACAGAGATACAGCGATACAGCGATACAGAGATACAGCGATACAGCGATACAGCGATACAGCGATACAGAGATACAGAGAGATGTTTACTTCCTGCTCTGGACAGAGCAGTTGCATTCTCTTGCTGCTCCTCGCTTGCTGCTTTTTTATCTCTTTTAATCATTTTTGCTTAAATTTTTATTCCACAAAACACGGATTACTCCTTTTACAAACTTCAACACAAGACTTGTGGAATTTACCTAACTTACAGCATGTCAGGAGGACGGGAAAAAAGAACAAAACTTTGCGACGGCTGTTTTTCACTCAAACAGGAGCTAAAACTTCTTCAAGACCGAATGTTTGTGCTTGAATCAGAATTGGGGCTGAACACAACAATACCAGTGAAAGGAAATGGACCAAATGGACAGACAGAACATAAGTTATGATGACGCTATTTCATTTCCCAAAATCAACAGAGACAATTGTTGGAACACATATGGTGCCAAGCCCAAACAAGGCAAAGCTAATGATAACAAGAGTGTCATAATGCCACAGCAAAAATCTTTAATTACAAGAAACCGCTTTTCACCACTTTTGGAAGATGAATCAGCAGTAGCCTCTCAGTCTCAGTCCCAGTCTCAGTCTCAGTCAAGGTCAAATGCAGCTGAGTCGCTCTTTATCGGGGATTCTGCGATAAGACATGTAAACATGCGTAATCTCAAGGTTCACTCAGTACACTCTGCCAAAGTGGATGAGATAAGGCGGTTGGCTCCGAGGCTTCTGTCTGAGACCGGCGGGGTAAAAAGAATGTTGATCCACGTGGGGGCAGTAGACGTCTATGACAACACAAGTGAAAAGTTGAAACGGGATTATTCTCTCTTATTGGACGACCTTGCTAAAATGGACGCAACAATCGTTATCAGTGGCCCACTACCAAATGTGGACGGGAAGCAAATGAAATTCAGTCGTCTGTATCAGCTAAATACTTTCCTACTCAACGAATGTTCACGCAGAGGACTTGCCTTCATTGAGAATTTTAATCTGTTCTGGAATAGGCATGAGCTTTTTGAAGGGAAAGGGCCACATCTGAACACTTACGGAGTAAAAGTGTTGATGGATAACCTTTCTTTTGCCCTGAGACCTCAGCCTGCGCAGCGCGTGCAGCCATCGAAAGGGAGGAAGCCAACTCTAAAAGTCTCTGCACCTCCACCACCTCGAAGGATCTCAACACCATCACCACCTCGAAGGATCTCAACACCTCCACCACCTCGAAGGATCTCAACACCACCACCACCTCGAAGGATCTCAACACCTCCACCACCTCGAAGGATCTCAACACCTCCACCCCCTCGAAGGATCTCAACACCTCCACCACCTCGAAGGATCTCAACACCACCACCACCTCGAAGGATCTCAACACCTCCACCACCTCAAAGGATCTCAACACCTCCACCACCTCAAAGGATCTCAACACCATCACCGCCTCAAAAGGATCTCAACACCTCCACTGTCATCAAAAGCAGCTGCATCATCACCAGCAGCAGCTGCATCATCACCAGTAGCAGCTGCATCATCACCAGCAGCAGCAGCTGCATCATCACCAGCAGCAGCTGCATCATCACCAGCAGCAGCTGCATCATCACCAGCAGCAGCTGCATCATCACCAGCAGCAGCTGCATCATCACCAGCAGCAGCACCAGTAGCACGAGCACCACCACCAACATCCTCATCCCCAGCCTGCTCCAAAGCAGCCACGCCTTCTTCATCTACAGCGCCTCTGAAGCCCCCATCCTCACCCCAGGCTACAGCAGACAGGCCTGTGCTGGGGTTTCCTCAACCACCTGCCCCTCCATCAAAGACTCCCTCGCCACCTCCCATGGACCTGTCTTGGGTCCCCCCTGCCACGTCCACTCCATCAAGAGAGAATGGGGACACCTCCCTTTGTTTTTCATCCCCGCCTTCACTGTTAGACCTACCTGAACACTCTGCAGGGCTAATAAAATCGGCGATGAAGACTATTCCTCTCACACCCATATTAGCTAGATCTAGAGTCCTGTCCAACATTCTAAACCACTCCCCATTTGTACCTCCAAAACAACCTAGGGTTTCCAATTCACCTACAAAAACCACCTCAGCCAGTCCCTCCCCTAACCTCATGACCATTCCACCCCCACTTCCCCCTAGTTCAACACCCAAAACCTCTGCCTCAGCCCACCCCAGCCCTAACCCATCACCAAAAACCCCTCCACCTCCCTGCCCCCCTCGTTCAACACCCAAAAGCCACCCACCTCTCCATCCTCCTCCCCCGCCTTCCCCTCTTTTCTCTAAACACTAGGATGCACAGGGTCTCTGCTTCGCAGCCACTGGCAGTCTAGTTAGAGGAGAAACCCGGCTGGGGCCCTGTCATGAAGCCACCTGTGCCATTCCCTTAGTGATAACACAAAGAATACATTACAGAAAAACATCTGGAGTTAATCAGTCTAATCTGGAAAATCTAATTCTTGTTCCGTGTAAGAATCAGCCGACCGCAACCGCTGATACTGAAACTTTGAAACTTGCTACGCTTAATGTCAGATCTCTTTGTAACAAGTCTTTTTTAATCAATAATTTTATTTGTTCTCATAATCTTGATCTTATGTTCATGGCTGAAACTTGGCTTGACCAAAATTCAGGAAATGCAGTTTTAATAGAAGCATCACCACCAAATTACAAGTTTGAATCTAAAATACGGGAAAACAAAAAAGGAGGAGGCTTAGCTGCCATTTTTAGAGACCACTTTGTCTCCCATAGAATGTCTCTTGGGAAGTTTTTGTCATTTGAATGTGTCTTTACAAATACAACAAAAATAATCTCCAATACTCTTCATTGTCCTATACAAGCCACCGCAGTCATGTCACAGTTTTATTGATAATTTTACCGAGTTGCTTTCAGTTGTATGCACAGATTTTGATAGTTTGGTTATTACAGGTGATTTTAATATTCATGTGGATAATGTTGATGACAGAAATTCAGATTCATTTTATTTGCCATTTGCAGTAACACTACATTGGAATACATTAGTAAAAGTTCCCAGTGTGCACAGGACAAGTACAGACATAAAACAACATTAAAAGACAAAAATAAAACACATTTTAAAAACAGTAAACAAATGTCACTGTGAAGTTGACCAACTAAAACAGATCTATACAAGTGCAAAAACATTAAAGTGCTCTATTCAAACTGATAACAGCTCGTGGAAAAAAAACTATTAGCATAACGAGATGTCAGTAGCAGCACAAATGCAAATGAGCTGAGTTCTGTACTTGAATCCTTTGATCTCACTCAGCACGTGAGTGGCCCCACCCACAGCAGAGGGCACACTCTAGATCTGTTAGTTACTAAGGGGGTGAATATTTCAAATGTAAACGTGGTCAATGTTGCTCTTTCGGATCATTTTTGTGTATTTTTTGACATGTGTTTCACTAACAAACCACCAGTGGACTCTGCAACTGTTCGAAGAAGGCGCATAAATGAAAATACGAGTGAACTATTTATGGGAATGATAAACTTTGAGAATGCATCGTATTCTACTGTAGATGAACTGTTTAACTCTGTCACCTCTAGTGTTTTGAATGTTCTGGATACCGTTGCCCCTGTGAAGGTTAAAATAGTGAAAAATAAGCAGAAGGCGCCGTGGGCTAAAGCAGACTCGGTCAGGGCACAAAAGAGAAAGTGCCGGAGGGCCGAGCGGAAGTGGCGCAAGTCCAACCTCCAGGTTGATTACGAGATCTTCAAAGATAAGTTGTGCGAGTTTAACCGGGTGCTACGTAGTACGAGAGAAAGGTATTTTTCTGAAATGATTGAAGGCTGCAGCAACAATCTGCGTGTTCTGTTCTCAACAGTTAATAGATTAACAAACCCCCCTGTTCAAATGCCTTTAGAGCTTACTTCCAAACGTAAATGCAATGAGTTTGCTAATTTTTTCAATGACAAGGTTCAAGGCATCAAAAACGCCATTGTCTCCAATCCACAGATAACCATCCAACAGCCAGAAAGGCTCTCTGAGCTAACTCACTTTGCACCTGTAAATGATAAAACTGTCCAAGAGATAATCTCCAGTTTGAGCTCCTCCACATGCAGCCTGGATGTACTACCCACTAGATTTCTGAAGTCTGTTCTGAGCAGTCTGTTACCTTCACTCACACAGATAGTAAACATGTCCCTTCATTCTGGAATAT